GAACAAAACTGACTAGATATATTGTATTTAATTGCCTATTAGGGAATCAACAATTACAACAATTTGTTAGTGATAGATGTGTTCATAGGTAGGCCTTTAGGAAACTAGTTTGAACAATTTTGTTTCAAGATTTTTAAGAATGTATATCTTGTATAGAGAATCATGAAATTGTATTGTTTTTTTTTGTTTTTGTTTGTTTGATTAAAGAGACTTAAATGTTGACACTTTACATAGAAGTATCTTGAAGGTATGATATTCAGATGAGCAGTTTTTGAGTAGCCAAAGGTTGAAATGCAAAATCAACAGTGGAGTAATTTAGATCAGTGGGTATTAGTCATTAAAAATATCTTTATGTAAAGTGCCGATGAAACACCATTCATCATAGTGCAGCCTCTTCATAGAGTAGATTGCTATGATTGGTTTATGAAGATTGCCCTTTATAGGAACATCTTTTAAGACTTGTTGAAAGATGTACATATAGGTGAATCAGTAACATAATAGTAAGATATATGTTGCAGCAGAAGACTCAGGATATTGTATAGTGAATATTTAGAATGAAGATCATGTCATCATTAGTTTAAACATGTTATAAGAATTGTGATTTTTTATCACTATCCTGAATTTTATCACTATCCTATCCTGTTTTCTGGATCTTATTCAGATTTGGGTCAAATATATTGTCAGTGATAAGGCTCAGTAAAACAATAGGTGTCATAATAGGCCAAGGACTAACTTCACATACTGAACAAATCCATATTAAAAAAGAAAGAAAGAAAAAAAAAGAAGATGAATTGTCGTATTTCCATGGGCCTTGAGTTAACCCTTGGAAGTACTGCGTGTAGCTAGATGTTTAAGGTAGATGACCATAAGGAGTATCCATTGATGTAAAGAATGGCTGTGATTCAGGGTGGGTGTGGCCGGGTGACTGAGGGCGCGCTGTTGTTATTTCAGTGGTGAGTGGGTCAGCTTCGGATGATTCTGACGCCACAGACAGAGAGGACCCGGCTGCCGCGCGCTCCAAATATAAACCTCAGAAACGCTCATTTCAATTTAAAAAGAAGACGGGAGGCAGGGAAGGCGTGGCAGTGCGCCCCCCAGTGGTTCCCCCACTGCCCCCCACACACCCACCGCCCCACCCTCCTACCTCCCACCCACGCATGGGGCTGGCTGCCACCCCCCACCACAACCCCCTCTCGTACCCAATGGCCGCCCAGCTTCCCCCAGACACCGACTTATTCTCCCCCTCATGTAAGTCATGCTCAGTCTTGCCTGCTTCGTCTGATGGCCTCTCTCTTTCTCTTCCTTTCTCTCTCTCTCTCTTTCTTGCTCTTTTTCTTATCTTTGCTCTGTACACCTCTTGATCTCTTGAATTCCGTCCTGTACTCCCATGTAGTGTAACATCTTACTTGGGTAGACCACTAATATATTTGGAACTAATAACATTTAGAGTGTTGTCAGTCTCCTCAAATGTAAATTTGAGTGTGTGTGTGTATGTATGTATGTATTTATGGCTGTATGGCTGTACAATGCAGTTAATGTAATCAGACATTTTGTAAACAAAAGAAGAAAGAAAGAAAAGTGTCTGTTGCTTAGGAATGGTAATCTTCTAGAAGACATCACATTGATATGAACAGCAGTAGTTTAGGCTATTAGGTAATGGTTTAGAGTAAGATATGCTGTACAGTGGCAGTTTTTCCTTTGGGCTCTAGGTAATAGTGTTAATAATCAGTAAAATGATATTGAGCTGTTGTTTTCAGTATGTGGACTTGCAGTATAGGGACGAGACCCCTTGTAATTATTTTTGTTATGACTTCATATACATAGTATGGTTTTCATTAGTCTTTTTTGCACTATTGCTGTACTTATTATTTATGTCATTATGAATATGGTCATTATTGATATCATTATTGATTATTAGTTACAATACCAAGATAAATAATACTTGGTATACTTCATTAATCCTTTATGATGTTTGATTATTGTTTTATTTCTTATTTTCAGTTAATCATCAATATGAGACTTACCAGATACTTTTCTTATTATGTTGGGTTATCAGTACATTCACTATTAATTCCATAGATGGCAAGATTACCTTCTGTTTATATTTGTTATTATTAATTTGATATGTGTTTGCCTTGTACATGTATATTATTTACCACATAATACTAATGCATGCCTCGTATAGATTTGTTTTTTTAAATAGGCAAGTTATGACTAGCTTTCAGACCCATTTCCATGTCATAACTGAAATACTTAAATATTGTACTCAGAAATGAAGGATGAGGGTTTTCCCTTTTGGTCTTTAGTTGCCTTTCCCTCATCTTTATTTACTTATTACTGCATAAAGTAGGCTACAAATATTTGACAAGATTGGTCGGGTTGTGAAATTGATAAGAGTGATATTAAGCTCAAATGAACTTTATGAACCTCTGTAAATTACAATTTAAAGTGTACATAGCTCTTTCTGTACTTTCTGATAATTTGTTAATGTATATAAATGGTAAAGGAACTAGTTAGCTCATTTTTCACTTAGTCAGTCTCTTTCACAGACTCATTCTCTCTCACATACATTCATCCATTCACTCACTCACTCACTCACTCACTCACTCACTCACTCACTCACTCACTCACTTACTCACTCACTCACTCAATCAATCTTTCATTCCTTCCACTGGGTTACTTAGGTGTATGGTTTGTACTTGGGAGTATGTGTGCTGTTGTATAAAAAAGGATAAATTATTTGTGGCAGACTTGCGCTATTTAGAGGTTGGAGCATGACTGTAAATGACATCAATACCAACTGTAATTATTGTAGATGGAGGTAATACTCCCGTTTGTTTTTATATAAGCTCTTTCTTCTTACTTTGAAAAAAGTGTAGGTTGGAGTAGCTATCAAAGTCATCTTTCAGTGAAAAAGATGTTGAATTCTTAGCAACTTGTACAAGTAGTATCTTAGTAGTAGAAGTAGTAGTGTAAGTATGCCTAACCAATATTGACACTGGCAGTTTCTGCTTGCAGTCACATAGTGAGTTACGTCAACTTAAACTTTTGCTGCGTGTTCACGTTTGCAAGAGTATTTCCATGGAAATATTTTATGTAAATGTTAGAAGATTAGACGTTTTTTGTTGCATTTTGAAAAATATCCAAGGAATTTGATTTGTGAGCTGTGTTATCCAAGTGCAAGAGTGAAAATAATGTAGAAGGAAGTCACAGTTTTAAAAGACAAGTGTAAAAGATTATATAAAAAGATATTGGTGATAGCTGAGCCAAGAGGGTATTTTAACTTTTTGTGATGTTTCATTTAAGATATTTTCACCTGATTTCTCACTAAAGAGCAAAAATGCACTGATAAGTTGAAAGCATAATATGCATTTGTTGTTGTTGTTGTTAATGCACTTCATATTTCTTTCAATGGGTGGTATGGTTCCATGCATGCTGGTTACTCACTCACTCACTCACTCACTCACTCACTCACTCACTCACTCACTCACTCACTCACTCACTCACTCACTCACTCACTCACTCACTCACTCACTCACTCACTCACTCACTCACTCACTCACTCACTCACTCACTCACTCACTCACTCACTCACTCACTCACTCACTCACTCACTCACTCACTCACTCACTCACTCACTCACTCACTCACTCACTCACTCACTCACTCACTCACTCACTCACTCACTCACTCACTCACTCACTCACTCACTCACTCACTCACTCACTCACTCACTCACTCACTCACTCACTCACTCACTCACTCACTCACTCACTCACTCACTCACTCACTCACTCACTCACTCACTCACTCACTCACTCACTCACTCACTCACTCACTCACTCACTCACTCACTCACTCACTCACTCACTCACTCACTCACTCACTCACTCACTCACTCACTCACTCACTCACTCACTCACTCACTCACTCACTCACTCACTCACTCACTCACTCACTCACTCACTCACTCACTCACTCACTCACTCACTCACTCACTCACTCACTCACTCACTCACTCACTCACTCACTCACTCACTCACTCACTCACTCACTCACTCACTCACTCACTCACTCACTCACTCACTCACTCACTCACTCACTCACTCACTCACTCACTCACTCACTCACTCACTCACTCACTCACTCACTCACTCACTCACTCACTCACTCACTCACTCACTCACTCACTCACTCACTCACTCACTCACTCACTCACTCACTCACTCACTCACTCACTCACTCACTCACTCACTCACTCACTCACTCACTCACTCACTCACTCACTCACTCACTCACTCACTCACTCACTCACTCACTCACTCACTCACTCACTCACTCACTCACTCACTCACTCACTCACTCACTCACTCACTCACTCACTCACTCACTCACTCACTCACTCACTCACTCACTCACTCACTCACTCACTCACTCACTCACTCACTCACTCACTCACTCACTCACTCACTCACTCACTCACTCACTCACTCACTCACTCACTCACTCACTCACTCACTCACTCACTCACTCACTCACTCACTCACTCACTCACTCACTCACTCACTCACTCACTCACTCACTCACTCACTCACTCACTCACTCACTCACTCACTCACTCACTCACTCACTCACTCACTCACTCACTCACTCACTCACTCACTCACTCACTCACTCACTCACTCACTCACTCACTCACTCACTCACTCACTCACTCACTCAATCAATCTTTCATTCCTTCCCACTGGGTTACTTAGGTGTATGGTTTGTACTTGGAGTATGTGTGCTGTTGTATAAAAAAGGATAAATTATTTTGTGCAGACTTGCGCTATTTAGAGGTTGGAGCATGACTGTAAATGACATCAATACCAACTGTAATTATTGTAGATGGAGGTAATACTCCCGTTGTTTTTATATAAGCTCTTCTTCTTACTTTGAAAAAAGTGTAGGTTGGAGTAGCTATCAAGTCATCTTTCAGTGAAAAAGATGTTGAATTCTTAGCAAACTTGTACAAGTAGTATCTTAGTAGTAGAAGTAGTAGTGTAAGTATGCCTAACCAATATTGACACTGGCAGTTTTCTGCTTGCAGTCACATAGTGAGTTACGTCAACTTAAACTTTTGCTGCGTGTTCACGTTTGCAAGAGTATTTCCATGGAATATTTTATGTAAATGTTAGAAGATTAGACGTTTTTTCTGTTGCATTTTGAAAAATATCCAAGGAATTTGATTTGTGAGCTGTGTTATCCAAGTGCAAGAGTGAAAATAATGTAGAAGGAAGTCACAGTTTTAAAAGACAAGTGTAAAAGATTATATAAAAGATATTGGTGATAGCTGAGCCAAGAGGGTATTTTAACTTTTTGTGATGTTTCATTTAAGATATTTTCACCTGATTCTCACTAAAGAGCAAAAATGCACTGATAAGTTGAAAGCATAATATGCATTTGTTGTTGTTGTTGTTGTTAATGCACTTCATATTTCTTTCAATGGGTGGTATGGTTCCATGCATGACTGTTAGTTGTAGCCAGTCTCTGTTTACACCTTGCTTCCAGTTGTAAAACCACTGGAACTCACAGTGCATGGAAGAAATGGGATTGTTATTATGTACAGTCTTGAAGTGTTTCTTTATATTTTATGGAATGAATAAAGTAAATGGCATATATGATTCATAATGTATAAATATATATTTTTCTTTCTTCCTTTTTCTGACTTTATCCCTCTCTTTCTGCATGGGTACATGACATTTAGGAACCTAATATGTAAACCAGTATTGGGCACTTTACTACCTTCTGGTATTTCAATGTTTGTTGTTGTTGTTTTTTTCTGCATCCCACTATTGTAGTTTAAAAAGAAAATGTTTTAGAGACTCAAAGCCTCAAGTAAGAGACAGGAACCTCAACTTCTGTGTCAGATGAGTGTAAGGTTGCTATTGAGAAGCATGAATTACAGAGTTAAAGAAGATGGTAAGTGGTTGTAAAAGAGAATAAATGAATCTCACAGCTGATGTCATCAATTGTCACACTTTTGAAGGCTTATTTTGCCATACAAATGTTGTGTCACTGAAGGAGTGACCTTGCTTTTATCCATCTTATGCATGTACTTGACACGTTTTTTTTGTTGTTGTTCTGGTGGTGTTGTTGGTAGTACTCCACATTTGTAATGATCAGTTACTACCATACTTTTTACTTTGGATGTTGTGAGAACTAGCACACTCCCTTGAGAGCTCTTGTGATCTCGGCCGGAGGTGTTACTTCCACAGCTTCAGCCAAATGTTGTATCTTCTAGTGTCAGTACTTAACAGTAATGAGTTAGTACTACTTTTGTGTAACCCATTGGAGCATGCTGTAGAATTTCCTTTTTTTTCAAGGAAGACCACAACAATCCACAGATTAAACTTGGTTTGTACAGATGTCAAAAGATTTTTTTTTTCTTTTTGTATTTGTAGATTTGTTCTAGATGCTGGCAATATCATTTTGACCCATATTGTTATTTCTTATCATTATATATCTTACTATTTTTCAAATATGTGTTGTTCAACCAGGAAACCAGGAAATGTATGTCAACCCTTTTTTATTCCTTTTATTCATGAGCAAATATAATTTGCAAAGTATCTTTTTTGTGTGTAAATTTTGATTACATTTTTTTTTTTTTTTAATACATTTTTTTTTTCTTGTAATAACTTTGTATTGCCTGTGATGGTGGTAATTTCCTGTTATTTTCCCTGTCATCAATCAGAGTTTTTCTTGGTTTAATCATTGTTACTTTGAAGCAGTAAAGTACAAACATTTTCTGAGTATCTGCATGGAGTATTTAGATGTTATGGAAAGCAGAGTGGACATAGGTGGCATAACATACATGGTATTGTTAACAGTATCATTGTGATGTAGGGTAATATCTTTAAATTAAAGTTTTTTTTTTGTATGTGAGTATAAGTACAGGTTTGTGTGTGTATGTGTAAGCATTTTGGCATACATGTTTGTGTGCTTCTTTGAATACCATTCTTACGCATTCATGCAGACATACACATGCAAGTGAACATGCACACACACCACACACAGACACCAGACACACATTCATGCCCACATTCCACCACACTACAGTACATGACACAATTTCAATGCACACACACATACGTGTTTATGTGCCTTTATTATTTCCAGTCAGACACTTGCATGCATGCACATGCTCACACCCCTCCCTCCCTCCCTATCTCTCTCTCTCTCTCTCTCTCTCTCTCTCTCTCTCTCTCTCTCTCTCTCTCTCTCTCTCTCTCTCTCTCTCTCTTTCTCTTTCTCTTTCTCTTTCTCTTTCTCTTCTCTCTCTCTCTCTCTCTCTCTCTCTCTCTCTCTCTCTCTCTCTCTCTCTCTCTCTCTCTCTCTCTCTCTCTCTCTCTCTCTCTTTCCCCCCCACCTATTGTCTTTCTCACTTTGTCATTTTCTTTTTCTTTCCTCTTTCTCCTATTTATCTCACAAATACAAAGAACACATAAGAATATTTGTAGT